TGGGAAAATCTGAGGGCTGGAGAAAGGTGAGGGCAGGCAGTCAAACCTCCAGGGTATCAGAGTGAGTTTCTGTTTCAGCCTCTCTGGACTTCTTGCATTATGGCCTGGTAAATGTGTAAGCATTTAAAGGGAGCCTTTGGGTCTTGTTAATGCTTCAGAGAGCCATCTGAAGGGACAGGGAGGTGAACAATGCCAGAGCTTTGACAGGCAATTGCTGGAGAAGGGGAGAGGCTGTGCAGCAGCTCTCCTGCCGGCATGTGCTGTTCTGACTGGTGTGAGGGGACAGGGCCTTCCTGCTCCCTTATCCCTTGGGATACTGTGCAGTTCTCATTCTCCAGCAAAGCACTGGTGCTGGGAGCACAGCAATTCTGGATAAAGCCCTTCCTCCTGTCACGTGAAGTGAGGGCAGCCTTTCGTCCAGGGAGAGATTCCTCTCTGCCACCTCTGCATCTGTTTTGCAATTCTTTCTTCTAGGAACAACCAGGTGCTTAATTATTTTCACAGCTGAATTTCTACAGAAAAATTATCTCTGCTGGGCCTCTGCCTGGCCCAGAGTCCACTACCATTGAAAATTTCCCATTAAAACAAGTCACAAATGCCATTTGTCCTCCTCCTTGGAGATCATGGTGTCTTCCCTTGGGTTTTCTTGCTGGTTTCACCTTTTCCTTTCCTCACTCAACCATCTTGCTCATCCAGATCTGAACTGAAGCTGTGGGGCAAAGCCAGCAGCAGTGGAGCTGCTACTCTGGTGGCCTGGTGGCCTCACTGCCTTCTTCTGTGTCAAGTCCTGCTGGGGTAGGCAGGTACCTGTGTCCACCAGAGCTGGATGCAGGACATGTGGTTGGTAAACACTGTCTGTTGGCCCCTGCCTAGATCTATAGTTTCTCTTGCAGTGTAAAATGTTAAGTACTCAAATGGAGAGCCCCTTCATAATGTCAAAAGGCTGAAGGAGGAAGAGAAAGACAGTAAAAGTTAAGGCTTCTAAGTTTGGACTGTGGCCCCTTGGGATGTCCAAGCCCATCAGCAATAAGGCAGGCAGGCAGCTCCTTGGGCTGCCCATCCCACCTCTCTTTGTTGAGGGAGCAGAGACATCTACATCCATGTGTCAAACAGGTCACACAGCCCAAGCTGTGCAAGGAGCACCATAACCTGAGAAGCAGCAGAACAAGCAGGCGGGGAGGATGGTGAAACGTTTCTGCTCATGACTGTAGAGGTCATGCTGGCACTGTAGCCAGTGGGAGAACGCAGCTTCCCTGTGCATGTCACTAGGTATAGGGTTGCCTTATGAGTTTGCTTTTTACACTTTACAAAGCTGCAGTGAATGGAAGAGATGGGCTCCAAATTACTGGGGGAAAAATCAGGCCTTGAGCTCTGCTGTTCAACGTCACCTCCCTGGAGATCTGTATTTTATCTGTCACCACAGTAAGGTTCTTGAGAAGTCCAGGGCTGATGCTGAGAAGGGTGAAAGGCAGGAGAGCAGGGACTGAAGGTGTCCCCTTGCTTATGATTATGCTGAGAAAAGTCTGCAGTGAGCTGTAATGCAAGCAGAAAGAGGAGGGTGTGGGAGGAAATGGGGAGTTCTGTTCTTTGTGTGCAATATAAGGAAGTATGGGAATATCCCTGCGGGATTTTCAGAGATTTACAAGAATGGGCAGCAGGGAAAGGCTGGGAAAAAAATGTAACCTCATGCTGTGTAATGTAATGACAGGTGAATGAGCTGGTGTTGCAGATGAAGGCGGGGGGGGGGGAACCTGTGGAAAGGGAGGAAAGGAGAAAAGAACAGGCAGAGGCAGATATGAGTGCCAAGGGCAGTAAGAGCAGAGGACACAGGCATGTCAGTTATGAAACTAAATTTGAACTTCACAGGACCTTGATCTGCAGTAGTAAGGCTGCTCTTGAAGCTTGCAGAGCCACATAAGGCAGGTGGTAAAAGTGCTTGTGAGAGAATTTTGAACATTGGACCAGTATGGGGAGGCACTGGCAGTAGAAGCAAGGACAAGCTAATGTGCTCTGCAAATAGCAGCCATGCTGTCTGAATAAGGAAAAAGTGATGGTGGAAGAATAAATGCATATGGAGTTCTTGCTCCGTGTCCAAGGAATGGGACCATGCAACATATCTGCCAGAGTGCCGAGACGACATCCTGAAGGCAGGTTATCACCAGAAACACTCTCAGAAGGTCTTTCTAAAGGTGCAGGTGTGGAAAGGGCAGAAACAGTGGACATGCAGCCATTAAGGGCACATGTTTGAAACCAGGGGTGCAGGAAGGTGTCCTGCAGTGGACAATCTTGCTATATAATCCAGTGAACAGGCAAAACTCTGCACTGAGTAATCCCGCATTAGCAAAGCACAAATACACAACGTGCCCCAACCTATTTTGCTAACAAACACATATTCTCACATTAGCCTCCAACCTACTTGCTTTACCTGTGGTTCCTCTGCATACGTTACGCGGTTACTTCTGCATGACTGGTGGAGGCAAACAGTAGCAAAACCAGCATGTGGTATTTTGGCAATGATTTGTTTAGCTGCAGAACTTCCTCGTACAGTAAAACATTTACTTAATTTATTAAGTCATTGCAGAATTCTTGCAAGATTATAGAAGTGCCTTCCTAGATACTATTTATGTAAATATTGCAATGGGCAGCAGAGAACGTGCCACTGCCTCCGAAACTACTAGACCAGCCTGGTACTACTGATAACTGCATTTTTCTTCATCCCTCTGGCTTTCAAATGAGAAGTATTTGCATTCAGATGGTATCTATTTAAGTATTTGCATAGCAGGTCCAGCTGTGTACCCAAGCACTTTCAGAGCACTGATGGCTATAGCTGGTAAATGCCTCTGCAGTACCCTGACAGCATTTCCAGCCTGCCTTGCAAGGGGAAACTGAGTGGAGCATTGCTGTTTCTATTTCCAGCCGTGGAATCACTTGCAATTCTTTGCTAGTGAAAAACCTGTAGCTGCAAGTGAACAAACCCCCTCAATCGCTACTCCCAGCTCAGATTTAGTGGTTGGTCAGAGTGCAGGGTGAGTCCTCGACAAGAAGGTGGTTTTGGCAGATTCTCATCCAGCCCCACACCTGGAAAACTTTGCAGGTTTGCAGTGCAGATGTGGCCCTGTCTGCCAGAAGGAAGTTGCAGTGCATACACCTGGGTTATACTTATGCAATTAGAGGGGAAGGGAAATAAAAGTGACTCAGGATGACAATTTTATATAAAACTTTCCACAATGACCTTTGGCTCCCATGCAAATTAGGAAGCACGCTGTGGTGTTCTTCCTCCTACCACTGAGCCCTCCTTAGAGCAGGTCATGTGTCAGGAACCCTTGGGAAGAGCAGGGCAGAAAAAGGAATGGGTATTCCTCTGGAACATGGGGCCATAGTGTTCTCCAGTAGCCTGAGCTAGGCCAGATGCCAGCCGCACAGAAGTCCCCTGGCCAACATTCTTGGCAGAACTCCGTCCTGCGTCACTGTTCCCTGTTCCCATCCAGGGGGTACAGCACAGAAGAAACAGGGCATGGTCACCCTTCACACAGCTCATCCTTTACCTGGACACACAACGGGCTATAATTTATCCGAAAGTAGCCCTGTGCTGTGATGTGCTGCCAGCAGATAATGAGGTGTAGGCAAGGACCTGAGTGAAATGACTCTTGTCTCCCTGAGCGCCGGAGAGAAACCTGAAGAATAACTGAAGGGGATTAAAGCCACATCCTTTACTGCTATGAATTGGACAAGAATAGCTGTAGCTCCTGCAGTGGGGAAGTGGGGAGGCCCCCTACCTGAATGTCAGGGGTAGAAGCACCCTGGGTGTGTTCACTCTTCCCACGGAAATCCCCTTCGGAAATTCCAAAGGCGTCAGAGTTCCAGCTGGAGCTGGGCCAGGAGATAAACAAGAGGTGAGCAGACACAGGGCTGGTGCTGCAAACCTCCATCCTCCTGGCAAGAGCTGCCAAGTACTGGAGTTGGAACAAAAGGTGCTATGAGAGCAGAAGCGGTCAGGTAGCTGCCACAAACAGCATAAAAACCCCCACTCTAGCGGGCGGGGAGCCTGGTGCTGGGTGACAGAGGGGGAATCCCAGCCCCACAGCCCGCCTGCTGCCATGGGTGCAGGAAACAACACCTACGTCTGCCTCCAAAATTAGCTGCAGCAGAAGGGTTGAGAGCTGCAAGCTGCTCAGATGTCTTATCACTGCTGAGGTGAACCACCTAAAACCCCTGAGACTGTGACTCCATTGGTTTACTTGGTGTTAAATGTTTCTTGAAAAGCAAACCAGGCAGATTCCCATGATCTCAGGACAAGGAGGCGGGCAATTAACCATTTCACAGACTAAGTACAGTAATCTGACTTTTTTTAATAAATACATATCTTACATGTACCAAAATAATTATAAACAAAAAATGTACAGTTATTTACACAATATACAACTGCTAAAAAGTGTAGCAATTATGACACACATGGTGTGAAACACACTGTTTCCAATGCCCACAGTTCACATTATTGCTACTTTCTCCTACAAGCCAGGAGGTCACCAGTCCCTTGGTCCAACTCCTCCACCTGGAATGCCCCACTAAGAGCAGTGACCTCGACCTGAGGTCAGTCAGTAAGGCCAGGGATTGCCACCAGCACAACACAAATTAACACACAGGCTCTGAGAAGAAGGGGTGTTGGTATGAGTCCACCTTGCCATGAAAGTACACGTGTTCCTCGCAGTACTTAATGCCACAAGAAGGCTCTCTGTAATGAGCAGGTTGGATGTGTAGTCTGTTGCCTCTGTAGGGCTGAGAAAATGGGCTATATGGCTCTTTATCAGGTGGTGTGAATAATCACAGATCTCTACTGCTGTTACACATCCCACTGCTGTACTTAAACACAGGGCAGGTCCTGGAACTGTCTTGTTAAAATTATGAGCTCCTTCTCCTTGCTGGGCAGTGTAGCATTTCCTTCCTGGTTTTTCTCTCCACATTGCGACTTTCTTTTTAAATGAAGAAAGTCAGTCCTTTTCCTGTACATATGTATAGAGTCACTTCACATGCTTTAAAATGCCAGCTGTCGTCCTCCAATAAGGCAGTCATCATATATAAGCTGCAAGAAAAAAACCAAAAGCTGTTAATGCAAAAATCTTACTGAAAGTATCACATCCACTCTGGGACAACAGCCAAATTCTGCATGCCCAGACTTCAGCAGTGTTTAAAATTTTTTACACCAAAATGGTTACTTTTGCCATTTAACAGCACTCAAAATGATAGAAAAACAAAGGCTGGAGAGGAGAAAACCACCCATTAACTTGAATTTTATCTCATGAGGTTCTGTGTCAGCCACAGAACGGTGTGCAGAGAACCATGTTGCATGAAGTTAACCTCCATTCCCTCGTGTTATTTTTTACATTTTATTCTTACTCTATTTATATGCTTGCCCCAACTGCCATTTTGCTGACTGCTGACAGCATGACCTTATTTATACATGCCTGTTATACAGCAAGAGGTTACTGGGGCATGCTGTCAGAGCAGCAGCAACAAAAAAAAACAAGATAGGATTTTCCCTTTCCCTTGAAAAGATGGAAACAGCTACTTACTTCATCCTCTGTGAATTCAGGCTCCGATTCACTGCTCTCCTCATCCTCACTTTCTGGCAACATCTGCAGGTCAGCTGTGGTCAGCTGCTTCAGCTTTTCCTGTATGCTTGAGTTGTCTCTTCCCCATGTGAGCTGATACGGGGAATAGCCCTGATAGGTCACTTTGTTCACATCTGCCCCATGTTTCAGAAGAAGTGACACCAGGTCTGAATTCTGCAGATCAACAGCCAAATGTAGCGCTGTTCTGCCATTGCACGGCTCCTGTGTGAAAACAACATAAGGTTTGGCATGTTAGGAGAGGCAGAGCTGTTGCCAGATCTGTTGATTCTGAAGTCTACACAGCCCCAGTCAGTTAAAGTCACGGTACACATTACATACCTGTGCATTTACATCTGCTCCCAAGGACAGCAGATACTCGACAATAGCCAGGTATCCTTGAATGGATGCCAAATGAAGACATGTATGTCCTGCAAAACGCAAACAAAGGGAAAATTTGAGTAAGTCTAACTCAGTGCCTCATAATTTCTTAGAAGTCAAAATGATAGGCCAGGATGATACCTAAATTTGCAATTCATCCATGGCAAAAGGGTGATTTTCAGAAGAGTTTTCCAGCTTCCAGTGAGTATGAATAACAAGGTTGGATTTTGAAAAGATTTCTTAGAGGTTTTATTCCAGTGCTTGACTGCAACTTATTGCAACCAAAAAAAGAAGGAGCATGGCAAAAGTGCTTACTAAAAATGCAAAATTCAAAGCCATGAGAGACAATAATCAACACTGAGGAGGCCTACAAGACAGTGGCATTTTAAAGAAGTCACACATTGCTGTGTGCTTAGGGCTCCTCAACTCTCAAATGGGCATAATTCTACTCTACCTCTCCAGAGATCTTTGAGATCTGCAGGACACCAACTCTACCCTTAGTGCAGCACAGCGAGATAAACTGTTTAGCAGTTTGCCTGTACCTTTGTAGTTGGTTGCCTGCAGGACAGCGAGGAGGTGGTGTGGCTGGCAGTACTGTGTGAGGACACTGACGCTCCTAAGGGAGCCCTGCTGGCAGGCAATGTGCAGGGGGGTGTTTCCTCGGAAGTCCCTGACTTCCAGGTCGCATCCGGCCTTCAGAAGATGCTCAGCAATTTCAGGTTGATCAGTTATCACTGCCAGGTGAAGAGGAGTCTGCACGAAAGAGAGAAAAAACAGCCTGTAAGTTACACTGCAAACTTGGCAGTAACATCTGGACAAGCAGACCTCTCGACCACTTGGAGATTTTTGCCACCAGCTAATAGCACGCCCCATAAACTCAGTTCTTTATGCTTCCCAAGATATTGTATAGTTGCCCTTTCCTGTGGAAGTAATGAACTTAGGGATACCGAACAGTCAATCTGTATGAAGGGTATCATTAACATCTCAATAAAGAGGGATGCAACTCATTGCATCATATTTGAAAAATGTGGGCGTTAAATGCCACTCTCTCAGGGGAGAGGAAGCATTGTACTAACACTGGCTGGAGCCAGCTGGGGACTTTCCCGAATGCAGGCTTTGATTAAAGTAGGCTTTGATTCAATTGATTCCATCAATTAAAGCAAAACAACAAAAAAAAAAAATTAAAAGGACTTTTTTGGGGGAATTCCCAGAGGCCTTGTGTGGGGGTAGCTAGGGCTGATCCGGATTTGGAGCTGTGGAGGTGAAAGTACCTGGCTGAGGTTGTTCTGGAAGTTCAGGAAAGCCCGGTCGCCGGCTGCCTGCTGGATCACGTCCAGGCTCAGGGCTTTTTCCTCGTGAATAATGGCCAAATGGAGAAAACTGCAGGGGAAAAAAAGAATAATTAAGCGACATACGTTAACACCCCCCCCCCCAATGCCACGGCAACCCCCCCAAACTCCCGCGGCGGGCCCGGGGCAGGGTCACGCGCGGGTGTCGCAAGCCGGGGCTTTCGGCGCGGCCGGGGCTTTCCGCGGCCCGGGAGCCGCCTCTCCCTGGCGCCACTCCAGGGACTTTCCGCCCTCCCTCCCTTCCCTCCCTCCCGCCGCGGCGCGGCCCAGCCCGGCGTCTCCCGCCGGCAGCACGTCCTGCCCCGTCCCGGTCGAGCCGCGTCCCCCACCGTGTGCGAGCCACCCCCGCCCCGTCTCAACCCCCACTTACGTGTCCCCGTCCTCCGTCAGCTGCTGTGCCCAGGCGGGCGGCTCGCGGGGCTGCAGCCGTATGTCCTCCAGCTCCTTCACTAACTGCCGGTACTCCTCCTCCTTCATGGAGTCCAAGCCACTGTCGTGGCGATCGTCGAGCGGGAACCCGCCCTGGCGGTCCTTCTTGGGGTGCTCGTAGCCCTCCATGGCGGGCGGCTCGGCGGCGCGGCGGGCGCTGATCATGGCGACGGAGCTGAGGGCGCTGCGAGTGAGCGGCGGCAGCGGCGGCGCCTCGCATATACACAGCGGCCAGGGGATTTCTGCGGGGGAGGAGCCAGGCAGGACGGGAATTTCCAGTCAGTCGAAGCCCAACCGACGGGTCTGATCCTGCTCGGCGCCGCCGGCACTGGCAGGGAGGGCGGGGCACCTGGGGCCGCCCAGAAGGGGCGTCGGAGGGGAGGCGAGGAAAGATGCCGGCGCGAGAGGGAACTTGGCGTTTTTCCCGGGGGGAAGTACTCGCCTCTCCGGCGTCCCCGTCGGTAGTTCCCTGCCGCGCCCCGGGGGGGTTTCCCTGCCCTGCCCTGCCCGGTGCTGGGGCTCCCGGTGCCCTCTCCCCGGCGGGCAGGGGGTGTGTGCACCGCTGTCGGGGTTTCAGTGCATGCTGTGGGGACCCCTTGAACGCCCCTCTGTGCTGGGCACTGCTAGCCCTTATCGTACTCTGCATCCACCCACTTTCTATCAGTTCGGTAAGAGGGGCTGTGGAATCATAAAATAATAGAATAATTTGTGTTGAAAGGGTTCTTTAAAGGCCCACTGGTCCAAACCCCCTGCCATGGGTAGGGTCCTCTTCAGTTCTGTCAGGTTGCTCAGGGCCCGGTCAGGTCTAACCTTGTATGTTTCTAGATATCAGGCATCCACCACCTCTCTGGGCAACTTGTGACAATGTTTCACCACTCTCGTTGTAAAAAAATTATTCCTTATATCTAATTTAAATTGACCTTCCTGTTTAAAACCCTTACCCCTTGTCCTATTGCAACAGGCCCTGCTAAGAAGCCTGTCCCCGTCTTTTTTTATAGTCTCCCTTTGAACACTGCAAGACCACAGTAAGGCTTCCCAAGGTGTCTCTGGCCAGAAGCCCTGGCCATAAGCATTAATATTCTTAGAAGCTTCTCTCCTGGTATCTGCACAACGGCAGATCCGTGAGCCTGTGAGGATCTTTTTGAGGTCTGATGAGAGGCACTCTCTTAGGAGTCATTAATCAGCACTCATCTAATGATCAATAAGAGGGTAGTGAAGTCATGCTAAAATTTCAGGGAACCAAAGACCACCAGAGCAATGCTGAGGTTGCTACTGCTTGGGGGTGGTGGGGTGGGTATCACTTTTTGGAGAGGTTCAGGTAGTATTGCATATGATGGACATTTATTCTGCCACAACATCTGCAAGTATGCAGATGCTGCTTCAGAGTTTAGAGGATTTCTCATCTTTGCTGGGGAAATTTTCACTCCTTTTCAGTGCTATGGGATCAGTGCTGTGAGAATTCTGAGCCACTCCTGTACATCCAATTCTAGTCCAGGACTAGATAGGCCTCTTTCAAAGGGTACATATCCATAATGGAACAAACAAAGAAATTATATCTTTGACTGTTATTATTACTTTCTCTGGGCATTTCTAGTGACTCTTCTCTGCTCCGTTTTACTGCTGTTGTGCCATCTGTGGGTAATGAAAACTGGATAAATGCAGGCTCCCACATGGATAAAAGACATTGTCTGCAGAACTGACAGCAATGAATTTTTCCCTGGTGAATTTTTGCTTCGGCTTCTCAGATGTAGGGGATTCCCATGAAGAATTTTTCTTCCCTTACAACTATTACTGGCCTCACTGAGTAATAGTGTCTGCGCTTTTTTTTCTTTTTTTGTCATTTTCCCATGGGATGGCATCCATTTGAACAAGAACTTATGAGAAAATCCAAAGATGAAAGGAGGAGACAGAGGAGAGGGAGAATGCCTAGCTTTCTCTGACCAGCTGTTCCTAATTTTCAGCCCAGCTGTGTCATTGCTGGACTTTTTTTCAGTGTTTATCACTTGGTCTGGGGCAATCCAGTGGTGCTTTTGGGCATGTTTAGAAAAAAGCCATACAACTCTTACAGGTTAAGGGTTATGAAAGTTTTGTGAGTTTTTTGAAACAGTTTCCCCTTTTTAATGTAAATTAGCAGGGGAAATTTAATTAAGTTAAAATTCATTTAAATTAATATCCTCCTACCTGCTTCTCTGCAAAAAAGGGAGGATCTCCTGCTCTGTCTAGGAGGGGAATTGAGCCCAGTGAGGACCATGCTGTCTGCAGTTGGGATTTTGTTAGAACCACACAGAAATTAAACTTAAAAAGTTCTGTCCTTGCTGTGATGGCTGGAAACCAAGTTCGGCGAAGAGAATTCTTTGCTTCCTTCCGTAAGTGACCTCCAGGTGCTCTCACAGACTACCATAGGGCTATTTTTAGCAATCATTTGCCAGCAACAGCCTCTTTTCAGAGGCATGTGAGATACTTTTATTTTGTGTGTGTTTAAGCTTGATGATACTGCAGCTAGTTGTAGGTGGCAGAAAGGTGGTCGAAGATGTTTTCTGAATGGAAAGTCATGCCAAGGCCAGCCCACTTCCTGCCCCAGGGAGATGCTGCTGCTCTGCAGCCTGGCCATAAGCATCCCAGGGGGCCCCAGACATGGGCCAGTATGCCTGAGTATTGGACAGACAAAGCAAGGCTTGAGAAAGGATTTAGCCCTAAACCCTGGTCCATATATAAAGCAGCAACCAGCTGGAGATGCAGGGGCAAGTGGAACCCTCATTAACAAATAAAGCCCCTGTTTTCTCTGTAACTCCTCACAGCTACCACAGTTGTTGTACGATATTTGTCTAAAGGGATGGCATATAGAAGATAACATAAAGCAAAGATTTTGGAACAGTGATGAAGGTCATCAATGCCGATTTTCTGCTGCTAAAGTACTGCCCTTTTTTTTTCTAAATTATCACATTCTAGCAGTTCTTCCATACAATTTTCTACATGGTCCACAAGAGAAGAAGAATAGAAAGACACAAATTCAGCTTTTTGGATATAGGGTGGAGCCTATTGCAACTCCAGTTTCCTATGTGGTCTCTTACCCAGGTGTTGCAGTTCTGGGAGGCTCAAACATGCCCCCCAGGGGATGGAGCAGCTGTACCTATCCAGGGACAGGGGTTGGCCCTCCTGAAACAGGAGCAAACCTTCTTGAATGCTGCAGTCATTTGTGCCAGCCTGAACCCTCTTTTTCTGCTTGTGTATTATGGTTTATTACCTCTGCTATGCCTGCATTAATTTCACAGGAGTGGTTTTTTTTGTGCTTATCAGTTTGAGAGGAGATTAATGTTCTCTTCATTTTTTATCCAGGGTTATGTTAATAGTCTCTGCTGCCTGGTTCAGCAGCCATTTCAGGACCAAGGGACTACCTGAAAGTCACTTTAACAATGTAACCATGTAACCATGTAACCATGGGAGGTGCATTTGCACCTGATACCTAAGAGCTAGGTTTTGCAAAAGCCTCTCCTACTCTATGTGCCCTGAGAACGCAATTGTCAAGTCTGTGGGGCTGCAGGGGTGTGATGTTTATTTTTATTCTACCTTGCAGAAAGCAGCTGTCAGGGCTCCGGGAAGCAGCCTTGAGTGCCTGAATACTGAAAAGGGGCAGTAGGGTTTTAATTAGTTTTTAAAGTACATGAAGGATTCTCGTGCTCCTTCCTCCAGCAAACACATTAAACTGTAATTTCCTGATTGCCACACTAATCATGAGAACTGTCTACTGCTGTTGATTTACCAGAGTTGGTCCCTCAACTTCATCCTTTTGTGATTGCTGCTGCAGATACCTATTAACTGTTTCCTCTTATTAAAACTCGAGGACTGTGCGTGGCTGACAGTAAATATACCAGGAGAGGTAGTTAACAACATGCAGCAAGATCTTGGCCCGGGCTGTTAAAACCAAAAGCAAAGGAAATCAGTGTGGTAGACCTGCTGTCTGTACGTGTACGTGCATGTGCAGATACCTCTTTGGAATAGGACTCTGGTTTGTTGTTCCAGAAGTCTATGAACTTTGCTAGTGTGAGAGAAGCCAGGGGGCACTTAATGCTGTCATTCTGATAACATTTTGCAGTTAAAATCCATCAATCTTGAGTTTACAGCTGCTATAGAGATAAGAACCATACAGCTCTGAACAATTAGTCCAGTGGTAAACAAGGAACACATATTTCCCTCCTGCTTTCTAATAATAATATGAGTTACTAATTTGAAAGCTTTTACAAAACAGCCAAATGAGAGGAAGGAAAGTTACTCAAAGTCACTTTTTGTCAGCCAGGGTGAGGGCTGATGGTGTTACATGTGGCCTGTATCCCTACCTCCTCACACTTTTTCATCAGAGGCAGATCCTCCAGCTGGATACCCCAAAGAGCAGAACGGTGGATGAAGTAGGAAGCATATCTCCACCTTATTTGAGCTGATATAATATCCAAGCAAATAGTGCACAGGGTAATTTTTGGCACATAAACCCAAGATCCAAATTAGGGCATTTAAAGTCCTACCCATGTCCCACAGACACAAAAATAGAGTTATCTGGGGTGTCCTGACCAGAGTCTAATGCATCTAGATTCCTGGTTGGCTACTCTAGTCTGTTTTTATTTTTTTTTTTTTCACTGCAGCTTATTTTTGGCATCTCTAAACTGGTGAATTGCATCCCTGGGAAGATCTGTGTTTCTCTGCATGAACTATGAGCTTTTTGTATATCAACTGGTTGCATTTCTGGGTATACTTAGGGATGAGATGTACTATATCAGTTCGTTGGGAGCCCCCGGTGGTGTAGAGGAAAACACACTGCACTGTCACTGCAGAGACCCGGGTTCGATTCCCGATCGGGGCCCCTCCCCGGGCAGATGGAGCTCGTTAGCCCAGAAGGCAATCCATCTACGTCCTGAGGACCTCGCTGCCACCGTCCAAGCGTGCTTGGCCCCGGCAGATGAACCTCAGGATT